TGTATTCATGTCACACCACTCCTACCTTTATAAACATGTTCTTAGAATAATTTGTTCTTGTAAGAAGCCTAGAAGAGGGCCAGTGAGATAGCTCAGTGGTCTAAAGTGCCTGCTTTAATAAATGAAAAAAGACACAAGTAAAAGAAGAAGAAGAAAAAAAAAAGAAAGTCACACGTCTGTCCTACTGCAATTCTGTGTATGGTTAGATTTTTAAATTTCTTTGTAAAAATATGTGAATGCTTATTTCTAGTTTTTTAAAAATTATTTTTCCTCCATATTCTGTAAGGACTTAAAATTCAGTATATCAGTACTTGATGGAAAATACCTTTCCATGATATGTCTAAAATGTTTGATATTTAGACAGATAGGGTAAACCGAACTGCATATGTTGCAGGTTAATAATAAGCTTCTTCTTTTTTTTTCTTTTAATTTATTTATTTTATTTATTTATATTGTGTGTGTGTGGCCAGCTCAGCCCACCAGGGGGCGGGGCTGGCTGGCATGTGGTACTGGGGGATTGAACCGCGGTCCCTGTGCTTTGCTAAGCTCGTTCTAAGTAGGTGCTTTAGACCACTGAGCCATCTCACCAGCCCCAGTAATAAGCTTCTTTTCTGGAGGGTTAACAACCTAAGTTAGCAGATCAAAAATTGGAGAAAAGGAAGGGCTGAAAGGTCAGCCAACATTTTGGCCCTAGCCTTTCAAGGTCAGTGAAGACTCAGGACATAGGAGTACCTATACTGTAACATCGTGTAACTCAGTTGTGCCCCAAATTTTCTGATCAAGGATATTATGGAGCCACAGAGGACTGTGATCGATGATGTATAGTGTGCCTAAGGAGAGTCACATGGGGAGAAAACATTCTCTCAGGCTTTCACAGAGAGCAAATTGGTCAAGCAATGGCCGTGACTCATCCTCATGGCTGACACTGACAAAGGATCTACAAAGTGCAGTACAGGGCTACAGGATAAATCCTGAGGGTACTTGACTGACTTTATCAAATACAAAAGTTACATTTCTTGTTATATAGGTCTTGCTTTATCTTAGTCTTAACCATCCAGCAGAAAAGTATAAAAACAAGGTATATAAAGTAAAGCCATATTAATACGATGAGCTATAAAAGGCTCAAGTTGATAACTTCTGCAGATAACCCACTACTATTGTGGACTGCTGGATTGTGTTGGATTGTTTGGCTGAATTCAAGCACCTATAGTATTTAGATGCCAGTAGAATACCCACCTCTGACAGGACTAAAAAAAAAAAGGGTACAAAGGAAAGAACATTTTGTATTTGTATGTACAAAATAGGATAGGTATACAGCTACTTTTGCTTAATTCAATGAGGGAAAGATGTGTACTAATATTGTTTGGACAGGATATCCTGTCAGCTGCTTGTACTATGGATGACCACTAAGAAGATAACAATGTACAATGTATTGATTATTGAAACTGTCCTATTTATTAATCAGCTTTGAAACTGTCTCATTCATACTTATTTCTCAATAAAATAAAAATTTCAGGGCTGGTGAGATGGCTCAGTGGTCTAAAGCACCTACTTGAAACAAGCTAAGCTAAGCATAAAGCACAGGGACCGCGGTTCAATCCCCAGCACCACATGCCAGCCTGCCCCACCCCCTGGTGGGCTGAGCTGGACACACACACACTAAAATAAATAAATATAAAAAAAATAAAAATTTCACTAAACAATACAATATGAATTTCACA